GCTGGCGCAGCTCGCCGACCTGTCGCGCTGCGCGGGGGACATCTTCGGCGAGCTCGAGGGCCAGGCGGCCGCGCTGGGCCGCCGCACCGCCGCGCTGCACCGCCGCCTCGACGCCCTGCACGCCGCCGCCGCGCGCCTAGACCACCGCCGAGTGAAAATCCGTGAGTGGCCGGCGGGTCGGGGGAGGGGAACGAGGTGGGGAGGTGCCGGGCCAGCTGCTCTCTCCCGCCCCCTGGCGGCCCCGGGTCGGCTCTCGGGCCGCGGCGCCGAGCCCCCGACCCCTCGCGTCCTTCGAGGGTCGGCTTCGCGGGTGGGCACGGCTGCAGGTGGCAGCCGGTGCGGCGCCCTCAGACTCTCGGATTCCGGGAGGTTCTTGGTCTCTGGACGAGTGGGCGCGGAGTGTGGGAATCGGGCTGGCCCGTCCCCCTGCCCGGTCCTTCTCTCTGTGTGTGTGGGAGGCAGAGAGGAGACCCGGGGGCGCTGTAGACAGAGGAGGAGCCAAGGTCGTGGGAAAGGGTCAGGGGAAGGTAGCCTATACGAGAAGTCAGGGTGCAATATAGGTATGGATATAGAATGATTACAGTCCTGGAGACTCCGGCAGGCTCTGTAACAACCTCAGGGGATCTCAGTGAGCGCTGGGGCTGCTGGTCGCCTCTCTGCCTACCGCGTACCGGCGCTCTTACCTACAAATCAAAGTATGCAGACTTTGAGTGAAGGGGTGTGTGTGGGCGCCTGTGTGTGTGTGTGCTCGGGCCATTTTGCCTTCCCACCCCACGAGCCCTTTGTGATTCAAAGGACCTTGACCTTGAGTTTAGACTGAATCCCATTCATCTTTGCCTGACCTCCTCCAATCCTGAAAATCAAGTCTGTGTCCTGACGTAGTGATCTCTCCAAGCACCGGTTTCATTTCAGCAGCTTAACTAGCCCCAGTGAATGAAGTAACTGGAATTTCCTGCTGGCCCAAAGCAGAGAAACTTTCAGTGTGATATTTGTGTGGTTTCTCCCCTTTTAGTACATGGACTTGGTCATAATCCTAAGTGTAAAGAATAAATTGGAGCTCGTTGATGGATTGCAGGCTATGAGGGGAGGTGTTGGTGAACACGAGCCTAGATTTCCACAGCTCTGGATGAAATACTGTCTCTCTCACCGTCACTTCATACACCGTCTCAAATAGCTGGTTTTCCATTTTTTCCCCTTGCTGGAAGAACTTGGCTATGCTTTAATTACCTTAAAACCGGAAGTGTTCACGTATTGTTGCTGTGCACCTTTCTCCACGTTGTGAAGTTATCATGTGATGACTTTACATTTTACATCTCTTTCACTGTGTTGTCAGATCCTTTTAAGTTGTGGACAGTTCCCAACTGGGGAGAGCTTTCCCCCTCCCCCAACCCCCCAAATGAGGGGGGAAAAAATCAAGGTGGTCTCATCAAGTTGTTGGACGGAATCTATCTATTTACTGTGAATAATGACCTCTTGCATCCGGATATACTGTCCTAGCGGAGTCTCATCATGCCTCATTGGTTCTATGTCTTTTTTGTGTGGAGTGACTGTGTGGGTGAATGAGAATTTCACCCATGAGGAATGATGTGATGGGGCAGATCTGACTGCTAGGTGAACTGATCTATTGTGGGAATTAAAGAACAAGAGAAACCTCCCTGACGGTCAAGAACTCCTCCTTTTGCTAGTTTTGTTTTGCATTTAACCATTACTCTTTGTGTGCCTATGCACCAATCAGCTAATATTCAAAGATGAAACTGCCCAAGTGCCCTAAATTAACTAAAATTGTCCTAATTAGCGACTGAAATAACTCTCTTAAAAACTTTTCATAAGTTTGTTTGAACCTTAAATGGCTTTGATTTTATACCAGAAAACCTGGCTCATCATTTTTTTTTTTCTTTTTTATGACGGAGAAAGAAGGCTTTTATGGAATGTAATTATGTGTGAGCATGGAAGTGTATGTATAGAGAAGAAAGCTGAACTGTAAAGACATTAGTTTTTGGTTTCTCACCTTCACAAATTTAATTTTTTTATTGGTAAAGAGCAGTGAAACACCTATGTATTCGTTTTACTTAACTTCTATTAGGTTTTAAAAAAATGCCTCGGGGCGCCTGGGTGGCGCAGTCGGTTAAGCGTCCGACTTCAGCCAGGTCACGATCTCGCACTCCGTGAGTTCGAGCCCCGCGTCGGGCTCTGGGCTGATGGCTCGGAGCCTGGAGCCTGTTTCCGATTCTGTGTCTCCCTCTCTCTGCCCCTCCCCCGCTCATGCTCTGTCTCTCTCTGTCCCAAAAATAAATAAACGTTGAAAAAAAAAATTAAAAAAAAAAATGCCTCAAATTTGTTCCTAAAGTGAAAGCTACATTTTGAAATCATTTTGGTACCATTTTAGGCAGGTCTTCCGAATAACGTACTCCATTAGAATGGGCACGTAGACTTTTAGACTTGGAGTTGACTGTGAAGGCCATCTACTTCATTAACTCAACGAGGGAGGAGATAGAGTCTGAGAGGTGAAGTGATTCACTTTAATTGTGTGCTGGGCTCATAGCACAGCCAGGCCTGGAGGCCAGACCTTCTGTTTGGCTCACTTGCTCGTCCCACAACATATATCCCTTCCTTTTAGGGTCACGTGGGAAATAGGAACAAAGTTTAGATACATTCCACAAACAGTCCAAAGGATAACTGTGACTGTTAATTTCATCCTTCTTGTCAGATAACCCTTTTTTTTTTTTCAACGTTTATTTATTTTTGGGACAGAGAGAGACAGAGCACGAACGGGGGAGGGGCAGAGAGAGAGGGAGACACAGAATCGGAAACAGGCTCCAGGCTCTGAGCCATCAGCCCAGAGCCCGACGCGGGGCTCGAACTCACGGACCGCGAGATCGTGACCTGGCTGAAGTCGGATGCTTAACCGACTGCGCCACCCAGGCGCCCCTCAGATAACCCTTTTAACAAGTCTCCCAAGGAACAAGTAACGGAACTAAAGAGTTTACCAGAAGCCTGAGCTGCAGGGGGAGATGCTGCATATTGCCTTGCCTGATGGGTCTCTGCAGCTGTTTCAAAAACATGGGGACTTTATCTTTGTAATACGGAAACAGCATTTTAGTGCCATGGGCAATGATTCTAAGAAATAAATCATCAGGTTTGCCGTTCCTCGAAATCTCACAGGTAGTTATCCCAAATAACTTTTTGTCGTAAGTTGGAGAGTTCGTACATTATTTTTTCTCCTACCGATCTTTAAAGACTCCCCTAATGCTGTCCCGACATCCCCAGGTTGGAAGGAGTGCTCCCAACAGCATCCATTATGGGCCTCCAGTGTATCTCTTTATCACCACATTTACCAGCATGGGCTGAAATTGTGTATTCACTTCTGCTCCCCTTTGCTAGACAGCAAGCTGCTTGAGGTCAAGGGTGGCTGCATCTTTGTTTTTTTCAAAGCTCAGAACAGTGCCTGGAATGGAATAGCTCAGTACATATTTGAATGGAACCAGTACTTGGTTTCTTAGTGCTCACTGTTGAGAAGAACCGTCAGGAGGGACTATAATACTCATGGCTCCAAATCTACATGAACAAGACAAACAACTTTAAAAACAAATGAAAAAGTAAACTCTTATCTTTTTAAGGTTTTGTGCTGAAGCACTAGTATGCTCCTTTCCCTAGAAGCCAAACTTCATTAATTTTGCTGACAAAATAAGTGCTTAATTGAAAATAGTAATAGTAGGGGTGCCTGGGTGGCTCAGTCGGTTCAGTATTGGAATCTTGGTTTCCACTCACATTATCATCTTGCAGTTCATGATTTTGAGTCCCGTATCCAGCTGGCTCTGGGCTGACAGTGCAGAGGCTGCTTGGGATTCTCTCCTGCCCCCTCTCTCTGTCCCTCCCACACTCGTGGGCACCCCCGCCCCTGTGCTCTCTCTCTCTCTAAACATAAAAAAAAAAAAAAAAAAAAAAAAAAAAAAAAAAAAAAAGATTTAAAGAAAATAGTAATAGCTAGAAATGTGGATAGTTATCTCTCCGGTCTGTAAACAGTCAAAACAAACTTTGCAGAAATCAGTAGGCACCCAACCTCATAGCCTGTTTCATTCTTTCAAGCCCTATGTGATTTGTTTCTTTATTTTTTTTAATGTTTACTTAGAGAGAGACAGAGACAGAGACAGAGTACAAGCAGGGGTGGGACAGAGAGAGAGGAAGACACAGAATCTGAAGCAGGCTCCAGGCTCTGAGTGGTCAGCGCAGAGCCCAACAATGGGGCTCGTACTCACAAGCTGAGAGATCATGACCTGAGCCAAAGGTATACAATTTTTATAGGAGAGATGAGTGGTGTTGAAGATAGTTGGCTGGCAGAAAGATTTTTATAGGCACTGTCTTTACATGAAGAAGATGTGAGTTTGCAGTGCCTGTGTTAGATGCTATAGCCTAATACTGCTGGATGGTGCTCGAGGTCTCTAGCTGCATTGTCCTACATCACAGCAGACTGTCCCAACCAGAGGGTTGGCTGTCCTGATGTCAGAATGTCTTTCTTCCTCAGAATTAGCCTTCTATGCAGGTGCCTGTCAGAATTCTAAAGACAGAGAGTGGAGGCTTCACTGCCCTTCTAAGAACAGGTAGTGTGGTTCTATTTGTGTCTGCCTGCCTGCTGATAAAATGTTTGTATTTCTGGTGAAACTGGCTTAAGACTTGCTTTCATTGAAACATACCACATGCTAGGGAGGGTGTTGGTGTAGGAATGTGGTTTCCACCCCCCTCTAATCCCTGGAGGGCCCCTGAATGTATTGACAGAAACTGACAGTAGCTAGGCAGTCAGGCTGCGCCTCGGGTTAAGGAGGCTGTATGAAGTAAAGCAGTGTTTTCTGTGCTTGCCTGACACTGAGAATTGTCTAGAACTCTCGTTAAAGTTACGGATTTCCAGATCCTTCCCGAGCCTTACTGAGCCAGAGCTTCGGGATGTGTAACAAATGCCACCGTGTGCTTAGCGCGCTTTGAGGAGCCCTGAAATGGACAGGAGGTCTCACTGGATTGAGAATTGGGAGACTGGAATGTGACTTCATGCTGCCATTTTCTGGTGGAGATTCCGATTAATTTATTCAACACCTCCAGGCATTAGTTTCCTTAAATAGAGACTTTGACTAAAATAACCTCTACCTTGGCATTTTGTGATTCTAATGAG